GTATGACGTCCAGCTGCCTCAATGCATGCTGTGATACGCCGCCTCATCGATGACGTCAGTCTTCTGATGACGTGGACTGGAATCCGTTGCTACTCGTCTCTCAGGGCCTACTGCAATTCTTTTCTGTTGACGGGAGGCGGATGGCGTGCTCTAATCTGTCTGTCAGCTTTATTTTTGACGTAAAACATAATAATTTCATGACTTTAAATTTCCTCCAAACCCCCAACACCGGTTACTGTACACACTCTTTGTTGCTGCGGATACCATTCCTTGGCGAAACCCCAGGCTGCTAACCTCTGGTAGCTATACAGTGTTGAAACGCATCGGACTTAGCACAAAGACTGAGGGCGAACGTCCATCCGCCTCCCCTGTAACCAACAGTTCGATGTTCAATGTCATCATCATTCAAAGTATTTCATGAGCACCCGTGTTTTAATCGTCTAATATTTGTTTGCTTTGCTAAACCTTTTCCATAATCACCAGTGACTAAAGGGATGATGTAAATCCTGCTGGGGCCCATGCAGGTAGCAAAGGTACTGTAAGTCCCCATGGTCCCCAGTGTGGTGGCCTTACTTTAGTTGCTGGAGACTAATAGCCCATTTTTATAATGTCATGTCATATTCAGCGATATCCTTTTATGGTAATTTACTAAACTGAGACCGCCTCCGTGGTCTAGTGATAGAGTGTCCATCTGGACATGTACAGTGGAAGGTCCGGCGCGCGCCGTTCGATTCTCGTCAGCGTCATACCAAAAAACATAAACAGATGGTACTTGTTGTTACCCTGTCTGGCGCTCGGTATTAAGGGGACAAGGGGATTTCACCATGCCTCACTAAAAAAGAAATCTTGCACCACATTGAAATGACTGTATTAATTAAACTAAAAATATCAAAAGTACAGTATTTCCAATAATCCAACAATTTCATAAAGTATTGAACAACTCAAACTTCATATTGTGTAGTCAAATATTGTACACCAGACAAACAAAATCAGTGGGGGTTGAAAATTCAGATTTTCACTGCAGTTAATTAAAACACGGAAAGTTTTCACAGACACACAACTTGTCACTTTAGTACCGAATGTGGCCGCCCCGTGCCTCCATACATACAAAGTCAGACGGAAAACGTCAAACGTCTGATGAGGTCACGTGGCAAGCGGGTCCATACATCATGTTGAGCATGTATCAACTCTTGTCTGTTGGCGGGAGAGTGTCGACGGACTCTAACCCGCCTGTCAAAGACGTCCCAGAGGTGTTGTATGCGTGATAAGTCAGGAGAATATGCCGGCCACGGTAAGACGTTGACGTTGTTGTTGGCAAAAAGTCCACTACGATATGAGCTGTGTGGGTCCAGGCGTTGTCGTGTTGATACACCTCTGGGTTGTTGCTGGGGGTAGGGCAGCACTACTGGACGGAGGATGTCATCTCTATAGCGCTGCGCATTGAGGTTTTCATTGATAACGACGAGTGGCGTCTGGTCTCAACAAATTCCACCCCACACCATTACTCCACCTCCACCCTAAGGAACGACTTCTTGAACGCAGCAAGCAGCTGTCCGTTCACCTCTGCAGCGGTAGACACGCGGTCTGCCATCAATTCTAAATGAAAAGAACTTGCTTCCGTCTGTAAAGACCACGCGTTGCCAGTCCATACGCTGCTACCGTCGCACTGTATTAGCCCATCTAATTCGTCTGCGTCGATGATCAGCGGTCAACATCTGTCCTCTGAACTGTCAGTAGGTCCGGATACCTACTGCCGATGACGTCAGTGTGAGGAAGCGGTTGCGGAGGTGCAACGTTCGCAGAAACCGGTCTTCCTGTGGCGTAGTGACCCGTGGTCTCCCTGTCCTAAGAGGCGACTAACGGGATCGGGTGGTCAGGCTCGCTGACTTGGTTGATGCATGTGATCGATCCCAATTGCGTGGATCAATGATGTCAATTACTAGAGTGTCTGGTCCAGACTAGATTATTTACAGACCGCCGTCATATAGCTTGAATAGTGCAGCGTAAAACAACAAACAAACTAAACTAAACTAAAGTTTCCAACGGCAATACGGGAACAGCCAAATGTTCTTGCAACGTGGGTGTGCGTGGCCCCCATCTGCACCATCCCCATTGCTCGCTCGCGTTGTTCTGATGTTAGTCTTGGCATTTCAAATGAGGTGTTTTTTTCTGTGAATGTTTGATCACATTGCTTCTGTGCAGTTTTTATACCCATGTGGCACGTGCATTTCTATCAGCAATTACAATACGTGATTTTACATTTTTCGCATTTTCTCAAAAATACGTGCGCAATGCCGGTAAAAATCACAGGTACAACAACGATGCGTTTGGGCTATGTGTTTGTGCCTTTTTGGGTTTGACCCAGTACAACTAATTTAAAATCACATTATTTTTCAAATGTGTAAGGTTTCTTTTGCAGTTCAGTTTTGTTTTATTAATATATATCTGTGAAATACTGGTATCTAGTTATTCTTCTGTCCTTTGGTGAAAGGTTCATTTCTAGTCTAATTATATTTGTTATTTATAACATTCTATTTTCACGATATCGCTGAAATACTACTGATGTGACTTTAAATTTGAACTCACTCACGAACTCGGTACTTTCCATTTCTGTATTCATTTTGACCTCTATCACGTTCAACTTGCTGTCACTACTATGCAAATACACTTACACTGAACTGCTTAAACAATGTACTACATCGACTAGTTCACTTTGTTTATGGCCCATTGTGGAAAGATCGTTCGGCTTAGAGCTTTTTGACCAGCCCTCCCTCGTACGTGAATATGATCATTATGTGGATTGTCGGTGTACTATATGATTTCTATTAACTATTGTAGAGACCATGAACATGATAATAAATACGGGTAGATACAGAGCCTCGCGATTTGTAGTTTGCCTTTTGACACACGGTAAAATATGGTAAGATTTGCTTCAATCTTATACCTATGAACTGATTATATTTTTGTATTTACAATTACTCAAATCGCACCCCGTCATAATTCCGGGTTAGAAGTCCCCTGCAACCGATGCAGGTTGTAAGGCAACACATGGATCGAGAGGTCAGGCTGGGTGCCTTGGTTGATTGCGTGTGTGTTCAGTGTTCACAAAATTAATCACTGGATTGTCCCATCTAGGCTTATTTATTTACAGGTCATTGTCATATAGATGGAATATTGGTGAGTGTGGCATTATGCAGCAGACAAACTCTATGCCCTGTATGTAATCCACAACAAAATGCTACTTTATTCTAAAATAGTCTTCCCAGATTCTGAAGTTGAATGTTTACATGATAAAACGTGTTCGTCATTGTTCTGTTTTACATCAGTACTCGTGTTTCCTTTCCGGTGAACCTCCAAGAACGAATACAAAGGACAGGCAGACTAGCGACACACAACCAAAAGTCAATGCCCAATTTGTCAACATAACATCACAGAGTATTCTTGTTGCACTTGTTTCAGCGCACGAGATGTTGTTGGCAGTTAGGCGACGTCGGACTGTACGATCACTGATGGCACGCTGGTGGTTGCCAATGGTTTGCCGAGCTGTTTCAGTGGCCATTCGGAATCGGTTCTGCAGATGTCGGCGTATCATGAACCGATCATGTCTGGAAGTAGTGACTCTAGGACGACCACTACGCGGTCGGTCGTCGGTGGTCTTGTGGCGATGTTGCAAACGATATATCGCTCTGACGTTGACATTGAATGCATTTGCAACGACCTGTGCACTCTGGTCTGCTTGCAGTCTTCCGATCGCTTGTTGTCTCTCATTTCCTGATAATCTTGGCATGGCTGATGAATCGAAATAACGAAAGCCAGCTTAACAGTTTTGGGTGTCTTTTATACCCATACCATCCACGATATGCACGTGCATCATGTTTTTGACAAGACTTTTCCGCAACTGAGTCCCATTGCACTTTTGTAGGCTGCGTTTGGGCAAATAAGTCCATTTTAAACTCAATTGTGAAATGGACTTTAAGGCACCAAAAAGAAGCAGTAGAACGTTAAATGAGTTTATTGACCACAGAACATGTAACTGCCAGTGTCTGTTAAGTTTTATCAGTATTTTCAGAAGTGACGTTTCTTTTGCCTTTCAGTGTACATAGGTGTATCTGTTGACACTATACAGCATTAGGAGTTGGAACAATACATAACCGGCAACCCTTAATGTCAGCCAAAAATACACTAAAACTTTTTTTACATGAAGAGTTGTAACCCGCTACCCTTAAAGTATTTTTTTATTACATTAGAGTATTGTTTTATATTAAGGGTTGTAACAAGCCCTGTTATGCGGTATTTCGAAAGCAGTTATTTAGCGCTGATTGGTGATTTCCAATGCATGGACTGTTGGCTGCCCTTGTCCCACCTTTGTTGTCTCTCACTCTTGGTGTTTTTACAGGTACACAGATGTGCTCTCTGAAACCCAGCATTCATTCACCTGGTGAAGGAGTATATACATATATGGTCTCTGGTTCCTCATGATAAAGAGGGGGCGGTCGGGTAGCCTAGTGGTTAAAGCGTTCGCTCGTCACGCCGAAGACCCGGGTTCGATTCCCGACATGGGTACAATGTGTGAAGCCCATTTCTGGTGTTCCCCCGCCGTTATATTGCTGGAATATTGCTAAAAGCGGCGTAAACCCACCCTCACTCACTCACTCATAATAAAGAAGTTGACATCCATAAATTATCTCTGTAAATGTGCATTGCTATTTAACCGGTGGTCTCCCACGGCTGAATAAGTAACATTCACCTACCTCATCCAATATCTGTGTCAATGTGTGACGTCATCGTATCACTATCGTTGATCTGTAAACCACTGGTCAATTGCCTGAGCTGTTGTTGCTGTACGGACATCCGTGGTAAGGCGGGGATGTTATACTGAGGTGAAGCTACATTCAACACCACTAACCATAGGCTATACACACGGCTCGTTACTATGTTTCTGTATTAGGATTTATCAAACACATGCGTTTATCTGTCGTATCGTATCGGGTCAAACTACAGGTGATAACACCGCAACAGTCTGTCTCTGTAGTCGCAATGGCCACCTACACGGTTCTGTGTGTTGTGTTGTTTATTTCAGTACTGACGTGTTTGAGCTGTAAACCGTTAACTGAAGACCCGTGTATTTACACGACAAGTGATGGGGTTATTGACCTGTCTCCGCTGGCTAGTGACAACGAAACAGCCAGGTAGGTATATTTATAGTGATGGCGAGACTGCCAACGTGACGTCATAGATTTTGGGTGAAACCCACGAGCACTGGTAATTGTTCTGACAGCTCAAGGATCGCAGTCGTACTGGGCATGTCTGCCCATGGAACACGCTTCGACCTGTGCCCATAGTGTGAATACCCCAAACTGTCAATACAGGAAATATTACTTATGTGAGATCCAGCGATAATTGTTTCCTTATCGCCCATTGGTCAAATGCCATGCGCCTTCGTTTCAGATTAGGGGTGGTCGGGTAGCCTAGTGGTTAAAGCGCTCGCTCGTCACACCGAGGACCCGGGTTCGATTCCCGACATGGGTGAAGCCGATTTCCGGTGCCCCCGTCGTGATATTGCTGGAATATTGCTATAAGCGGCGTAAATCCAAACTCACTCGCCCACTCGTTTGAGATTAAATATTTTGATCTAACCTGAGTCATAAGGGAAACCCATTCAGACTGACGATTTTCTAAACAAGTATGAACTCTAGCTTTGCGTTTTGAAATAATGATCACACGTAAAGACAATATTCTGATTTCTCAAAGACAGTGCACCTATTCATGAGATAGTTATGCCCTGAAAGTTTCAGTCGTGAAAACGCATTTTCTTGTGATGCACATTAACCATTACGGGGGTGTCTAAAACAAAAATGGTTACCAAAATATCAAAATTGATTGTCAAAATTGTTCATCCTTCAGAATCAAATTGGAAAAAAAAAATCTTACCCCAGTGTCTTTGAATATCAAATATATCAACACTGGTTGATAGAATTACGAAAAACACATTTACTTTCTTTATAGCAATATTTGGTATCACAACACGGGCGGTTCGGATGCAGTATAAAGTGTCGGGTGGGATATCCATGTTAAACTGCGGCATGGTATCACTGTGGGTTAGGTCGATAAAAAATGGCAGACGTCCGGACAAGAACAAGCAGCCACACGCGCACGTGCATGCACGTCGCTATATATATGTGTGAAATGATACTGAACGCGACGTAATACCCCATTTCAACTCATCTCATATCACATTTAAGCAAATGAAGAAAACAATTTGGATTTTCAGAATGTCGGAATTTCCATGATGCTTTTTCTTTCAAAATCGTTACTGTAGTTGTCTTATGAGGTTACATATACTTTATTACTTGACTCGTGAACACATGTAAGAACTTTGTGTTTCAGGTTCAGTGTCCTAGATTCCCACACTAATTACCAATATCTGTGGAGCCCCTGCCACCCATTCACCGAAGACACCGTCTGTGAAAATGCATCGGTAAGATTATATATTCTCCTTAAGTACTGTTTCTGTCGTTAAGTAAAGTAGTGTTTCTCGGTTGTCAAGTATATAAGAGGAATCGAAGATAACTCTATTATCAGCAACTTCCTTTGTAAGTCCGTGTTATAACAAGAGAGACGTGTGTGATGGTCGCCATGTTGTGTAGACGTGTCACGATGTTCTGTGTTTCAGGTCTGTCAATACATCGTGTCTATTGACTTCTACGTATTAATGGCACAACAAGACGGTGTCCTGCAGCATGACATCAACACGGGGCAGAACGTCCTGTTTTATGTGGGGACCGACCCCCGAGATCACTCCACTCGGTATGTGTGAGTGAGTGGATGGATGACGGATGTGTGGGTCACTTTAGGGGAATTATATCACACTTAATCGAAACGTAATCGTAGCTATCAAACAGTATAAATAATCATAATCTTCAGGGATATAATAATATAATTATGGTTACGACTGAAAAAGTACATTTATTTCCTGTATGTGTTTATCGAAGAACATGGATGTCCATTGGTGGTGACATTAATACTAATGGTTAAGATGATGGTGATGATAATAACAATAATAAGGATGATAATGAAATTAAAATCGTCGTCGGCATCAGCATTATCATCAGCAGCAACAACATCACCTGAGGAGAATATTGGAATTTGCTTTTGTTATCACATCAGAGGATAAAACCTCATCCCTCTTCAAATTTAATATATATCTGTCACTGTTCTTACACGAGGCTCTTTCGACACATAAATCAAAAGATTCTGAGACGATTATCCCCCCAGGAAGAAGGGGCGTGAGGGTGGCCTATTGGTTAAAGCTGTCCGTCACGCCGAAAATTCGGATTCAGTTCCCGGGACGGGTATAATGTGTGAATGCATGTGTGATATTCCCTCGTCGTTGTGTGGAATGTTACAAAAGACAACATAATTTCTACTTCATCATTGCTTTGTTTGAACAGCTATGTACAAGTGACCAGTGACAATCTAATTCCTCTTTCCACCCCCAGGCAGACGTACATACATCTGATTTGCAGCCCTGACGAGCCCGGGGAGTTGGAGTTTGACAGAGAGGAACCGATGGACACATATGTAAGTCGTGACGTCACCGACTACACCTGCTGTGATTGCTACTGCTACTACCGATGTTGCTACTGCAGTTACTGTTACAGTTACTGATAATGCTACTGGTACTGCTGCTACCGATGTTGCTACTGCAGTTACTGTTACAGTTACTTATAATGCTACTGGTACTGCTGCTACCGATGTTACTACTGCTGTTACTGTTACAGTTACTTATAATGCTACTGGTACTGCTGCTACCGATGTTACTACTGCAGTTACTGTTACAGTTACTTATAATGCTACTGGTACTGTTGCTACCGATGTTACTACTGCTGTTACTGTTACAGTTACTTATAATGCTACTGGTACTGCTGCTACCGATGTTGCTACTGCAGTTACTGTTACAGTTACTTATAATGCTACTGGTACTGCTGCTACCGATGTTACTACTGCAGTTACTGTTACAGTTACTTATAATGCTACTGGTACTGCTGCTACTGATGTTACTACTGCTTCTTCTGCTACTATTGCTGCTGAAGCTACTGCTGCAACTACTGCATATACTGGTGCTACTGATACCGTGTTAATACTATTGCTACAGCTGATGTTAATGGTAAGCACCGAACATTCGGGGATTCTTTACAAACCTCCAGTTTAGGCTTCCTAACAATGCTGTAACGTGTATTATTCGAAACTAAAGTATATTAATCAATTCTGTTTCCAGCATCTGAACCTGACAAGCAAATATGCCTGCATGTCATCAGCTCCAACGACTACATCAACGACAGCCTCCACAACTGCGTCAACAAGCACTTCCCAAAGAAACGTAACCTCGGGGACGACCGTGACGTCCCCTACCACCTCCTCTCCAACCACGACCTCCTCTCCCACCACGACCTCCTCTCCCACCACGACTACCTCTCCCACCACGACTACCTCTCCCACCACGACTACCTCTCCCACCACGACCGCCTCTCCGACCACGACATCCTCTCCCACCACGACCTCCTCTCCCACCACGACCTCCTCTCCGACCACGCGCCATACGTCGACAGCAGGACCACCAGCGTGTGTGTACGCGACACGTGACGGAGTCATTGACCTGTCTCCGCTGGCTGGTGGCAGTCGAACAGCCAGGTGGACATTTAGTACATATACTGAAATATTGTAGAAACGAAACACTTACGGAGAGAGTTTTACATTTTCAGAATACTTGCGACGTCATGCCTGTACTAGTAGCGGGACGTTATTCTATGAGTGAGTGAGTGAGTGAGTGAGTGAGGTGTCTGTTAACATTTCGTTTAACTTTGCGTTTGAATTTATGATCACACGTATATATAATATTTAGATTGCAATTTCGCAAGACATTGCATCTTTTCATCGGATAGTTAGACCTTAAAAGTTTCAAAATAGACATGGTCATGAAAATATTAATTGCTTCGGAATCATTTTGGATAATAAATAAAATCTCACTCTCGTGTCTATCGATATAAGATATATCAACACTAGTCGATAACAACACGTCCTTTGTAGCCATATTTGGTACCACAACAGTGGCCGGCTCGGAGTCAGTATAAAGCGTCGGGGTGGGATATCCATGTTAAACTGCAGCATGGTATCTCAGTGGATTAGGACTGTAACAACTGGCAGAAGCCCGGCCCAGTACAAGCAGCCACACACGCACGTGCATGCATGTGTGATATTCCCACGTCGCTATATATATATATATATATATATATATATGTGTGAAATAACCTCATCCTACATCACACATGTGCAAAATAAAAAAAACAATTCGGAATTTCGGAATTTTCATGATGCTTTTTCTTCTAAAATCATTTCTTCAGTTACTTTCTAATCAGGTTACATATACTTTATTACCTAACACGTGACATTCGAATGGAAGAACTTTGTGTTTCAGGTTCAGTGTCCTAGATTCCCACACTAATTACGAATATCTGTGGAGCCCCTGCCACCCATTCACCAAAGACATCGTCTGTGAAAATGCATCGGTAAGATTATATATTCTCTTAAAGTACTGTTTCTATCGCTAATTAAAGTAGGGTTTCTCGGGTGTAACATATGCAAGAGGAACTACACCACCAATGTGAAGTGTTGTGGTGAAGGAGTATCTGTACACATCTAGGGTCCTTTTAAGACGTTGTTTGTTGCGCCGACCACAGCAATATTCCGGTCATATAGAGCCTGGAAAATTTTAGTCTGGACCAGATAAACCTGTGATTGGTGTCCCACCCCGTCAGGGTACGATGACATCAACCTGTGCATTAAGTCGCCTTGTACGTGAAGCATTAGTCCTGCACCATGACCGTGGAATATATTTATTTTATGAAACAAATAATCTAGAAATGCATCAAAAAGCAAGTCTAGCCAGCTCAAGCTAGCTCCATTCCACAGAATTTTAATATATTTTTAGAGTCAAGAAGGATATTGTGTAATATAAGATTTCAGAGACTAAATGTTAGTCTAGTGAAGCATAAGTTACAGAGGACCAGTTCTAACCCGGGTTCACAACATGGATTCCGATGTTCGACGCCTAACTCTTGAAAGTGTATTTGATTAAAATGATACTGGGAATATTTCTTTCGCAACCCAAGCTTGTCGTAAGAGGCGATAAAGGGGATCGGATTGCCAAGGTCGCGGACTTGGTTGCTGCATGTCATAGTATCTGAATAGCCCATTTCGATGCTCATGGTGTCAATAATTGGATTGTCTGGTTGGTTTGGTCTAAACTCTATTAACCATAGACCGCCGTCATATAGGTGAGTGCGTCGTTAAAAACCCACTCACGGACAGAAACACACACACCCTCACACCAGCACAGAATTAAAGTGATACACGTTTAAGATCTGTATCAACCTCCGACATCAAGCTGACACGCATTGAAATAACTCTATTATCACCAACCACCATTGTATGGCTGTGATAGAACTCTATTATCACCCACCGCCTTTGTAAGTCTATGATATAACTTTATTCTCAGCAACCACCTTTGTATGTCTGTGATATAACTCTATTATCAGCAACCACCTTTGTATGGCTGTCATATAACTCTATTATCAGCAACCACCTTTGTATGGCTGTGATATAACTCTATTATCAGCAACCACCTTTGTATGGCTGTGATATAACTCTATTATCAGCAACCACCTTTGTATGGCTGTCATATAACTCTATTATCAGCAACCACCTTTCTATGTCTGTGATATAACTCTATTATCAGCAACCACCTTTGTATGGCTGTGATATAACTCTTTTATTATACAAGAGAGACGTGTGTGATGGTCGCCGTGTTGTGTGGACGTGTCACGATGTTCTGTGTTTCAGGTCTGTCAATACATCGTGTCTGTTGACTTCTACGTATTAATGGCACAAGAAGACGGTGTCTTGCAGCATGACATCAACACGGGGCAGAACGTCCTGTTTTATGTGGGGACCGACCCCCGAGATCACTCCACTCGGTATGTGTGAGTGAGTGGATGGATGATGGATGTGTGGGTCACTTTAGAGGAATTATATCACACTTCATCAAAACTGATTTTTATGTTTTTATGTGGTAGCTATCAAACAGTATAAATAATCATAATCCTCAGGGATATAATAATATATTCATGGTTACGACTGAAAAAGTACATTTATTTGCTATATGTTTTTTTCGAAGAACATGGATGTCCATTGGTGGTGACATTAATAATAATGAATACGATGATGGTGATGATATATAACAATAACAAGGATGATAATGAAATTAAAATCGTCGTCGGCATCAGCATCATCATCACCTGAGGAGAATATTGGAATTTGCTTTTGTTATCACATCAGAGAATTAAATCTCACCCCTATTCAAATTTAAAATATATTTGTTACTGTTCCTAGACGAGGCGACACAAAACTCAAAAGATTCTGAGGCGATTATTCACCCCAGGAAGAAAGGGCGTGAGGGTGGCCTATTGGTTAAAGCTGCCCGTCACGACGAAAATTCGGATTCGCTTCCCGGGACGGGTATAATGTGTGAATGCACGTGTGATATTCCCACGTCGTTGTGTGGACTATTACAAAAGACAGCGTAATTTATACTTCATCACTGCTTTGTTTGAACAGCGATGTACACGTGACCAGTGACAATATAATTCCTCTTTCCACCCCCAGGCAGACGTACATTCATCTGATTTGCAGCCCTGACGAGCCTGGGGAGTTGGAGTTTGACAGAGAGGAACCGATAACCATATATGTAAGTCGTGACGTCATCTATACGTGAACGGCCATGAAGTCATCTATCTAACTGATCCATCGTGACGTCATCTACCTAGCTGGGCCATCGTGACGTCATCTATCTTGCTGGTCCATCGTAACGTCACCTCTCTAGCTGGTCCATCGTGACATTATCTACCTAGCTGGTCCATCGTGACGTCACCTCTCTAGCTGGTCCATCGTAACATTATCTATCTAGCTGGCCCATCGTAACGTCACCTCTCTAGCTGGACCATCGTGACGTTATCTACCTAGCTGGTCCATGGTGATGTCATCTATCTAGCTGGCCCATCGTAACGTCACCTCTCTAGCTGGCCCATCGTGACGTTATCTACCTAGCTTGTCCATCGTTACGTCATCTATCTAGCTGGCCCATCGTAACATTATCTATCTAGCTGGCCCATCGTAACGTCACCTCTCTAGCTGGACCATCGTGACGTTATCTACCTAGCTGGTCCATCGTGACGTCATCTATCTAGCTGGTCCATCGTAATGTCACCTCTCTAGCTGGCCCATTGTGACGTTTTCTACCTAGCTGGTCCATCGTGACGTCTTCTATCTAGCTGGGCCATCGTAACGTCACCTCTCTAGCTGGCCCCCTCGTGACGTTATCTACCTAGCTGGCCCCCTCGTGACTTTATCTACCTAGGTGGACCATCGTGACGTCATCTATCTAGCTGGTCCATCGTGACGTCATCTATCTAGCTGGTCCATCGTGACGTTATCTATCTAGCTGGTCAACTTAAGGATGTATCAGACACTCTCTTTTTCTCAAATATCTTGTGGAAGTACATGCATATATCCGCAATGCCTTAACGTGTACAAGTTGATACTGAAATATGTAATGATTTTTTTCCTAGCATCTGAGCCTCAGAAGCAGATATGCCTGTATGTCATCAGCTCCAACAACTACATTAACGACAGCCTCCCCCACAGCTACGTCTACAAGCCCTTCCCAAAGGAACGTAAGCTCAGGAACCACAGTGACGCCTCTCACGCCGCCCTCCCCTGCCACGCCCACTCCAGGACCACGACCTTCACCCAAGCCTTACAACCTCATGACCATCACCATTCTGCTGTTCTGTATTCTGTGAGTGAAACCGACATGATCACCTCTGTTCTGTATTCTGTGAGTGAAACCGACATGATCACCTCTGTTCTGTATTCTGTGAGTGAAACTGACATGATCACTTCTGTTCTGTGTCATGTGAGTAAAACCATGACACAACAGTCTTGGCCATCACTAAAACAAATACTAAGTCTCGTGTGTATATTTTGCATCAGGATCATATCTCTAGGCATTTTTATGTCATTACTTGTATGTTTTCAGAATCGCGCTGTGCATATTGAACTGTATGATCTGCCTTGGCCTGATCACGCGACAGTCAGCTTCCAGTGGGCGTGTACCTGTCTCCTCACCTGGCCACACCAACCAGGCCTTTGAAAAGAAACCGTTGAACTAAGCATGTTGAACTTCAGTGCTTTTAATCGAAATGATATTAAATTGTTAAAAAAAACACCCGCCTTTGTTGTTATTATTAGCTTCAAGCAATGTCATTAAGGGGATAGGTCATTTTATCGTCTAATGGTTGATTGTGTGTGTTGTGTTTAGTGTAAGGTATATGTGTGTTGTGTGCGGTTTGTTATGTAGAGTTGTCTGTTGTGTTGTCGTCTGCAGTATATAGTGCAAGGCCATTATGTGTGATGTGTGTGGAGTGTGATGGTGTTGTGTGGTGTTGTGTGTGAAGTGTGATGGTGTGATGGTGTGTGGTGTTGTGGAGTGTGATGGTGTGTGGTGGGGTGTTGTGTTGTGTGGTGTGTGGAGTGTGATGGTTGGTTGGTTTGTTTGTTTGTTTGTTGTTTAACGCGCATTCAGCAATATCCCAGCTATATGACGGTGGTCTGTAGATAATCGAGTCTGGACCAGACAATCCAGTGATAGCATTTGCAGGGCTATCTGCCGTCAAATGTGGCGTTTCCGGCCCATAACCGGTTTCTCTATCAGTTCTAATCCTGAAACCAGTAAATACAATTGTTAAGCCAATCACAATCACAACAGATTCAGGAGGAAATTCAAATAGGAGTCAAACTACTTATTGTGAAATTTCTTATTTCATATGTACCATTTTGCTATCTCAGGTCATTCCATTGTAGCATTACTATAATTAACGGGTGTCCATAATCATGTGTAGTCATACTGGGAGTAGTTGTCATGGGAATAGCTATACTGTGAATGAACTGCCTGGCTCTCCTGGATGTGAAGTCATACTGGGAGTAGTTGTCAGGGGAATAGCTATACTGTGAATGAACTGCCTCGCTGTCCTAGATGTGTAGTCATACTGGGAGAAGCTGTCAGTGGAATAGCTATACTGTGAATGAACTGCCTGGCTGTCCTGGATGTGTAGTCATACTGGGAGTAGTTGTCAGGGGAATAGCTATACTGTGAATGAACTGCCTTGCTGTCCTGGATGTGTAGTCATACTGGGAGTAGTTGTCAGGGGAATAGCTATACTGTGAATGAACTGCCTGGCTGTCCTGGATGTGTAGTCATACTGGGAGAAGCTGTCAGGGGAATAGCTATACTGTGAATGAACTGCCTGGCTGTCCTGGATGTGTAGTCATACTGGGAGTAGTTGTCAGGGGAATAGCTATACTGTGAATGAACTGCCTGGCTGTCCTGGATGTGTAGTCATACTGGGAGTAGTTGTCAGGGGAATAGCTATACTGTGAATGAACTGCCTTGCTGTCCTGGATGTGTAGTCATACTGGGAGAAGCTGTCAGGGGAATAGCTATACTGTGAATGAACTGCCTGGCTGTCCTGGATGTGTAGTCATACTGGGAGTAGTTGTCAGGGGAATAGCTATACTGTGAATGAACTGCCTGGCTGTCCTGGATGTGTAGTCATACTGGGAGTAGCTGTCAGGGGAATAGCTATACTGTGAATGAACTGCCTGGCTGTCCTGGATGTGTAGTCATACTGGGAGTAGTTGTCAGGGGAATAGCTTTACTGTGAATGAACTGCCTGGCTGTCCTGGATGTGTAGTCATACTGGGAGTAGTTGTCATGGGAATAGCTATACTGTGAATGAACTGCCTGGCTGTCCTGGATGTGTAGTCATACTGGGAGTAGTTGTCAGGGGAATAGCTATACTGTGAATGAACTGCCTGGCTGTCCTGGATGTGTAGTCATACTGGGAGAAGCTGTCAGGGGAATAGCTATACTGTGAATGAACTGCCTGGCTGTCCTGGTGCACAAATACAAGGCTCTGCATGCTCCTGGTTTGCCTTACAAATATCTTATCAAGGAATACCAGCCTACCACCTTCCTGTTTATAGTTTTAGAAAAACAGTATAAAGTCACATCCAAGACCTATGCTTTCAGAGAACATTTGTAGGTACTTAAATGTATCACTTTGTTGCTACACATCATATCAAAATTTATTCCATTTGACCTCATATGCTACCTGTGAAAAGAGCCTTAACTATTTTTAACACTATCATGGTGCTTGGCATCCTTCTAGAGTTTCAGGTTGCTTGTTCACAGAAGTTGAGGTTAAAGGACACAACAGAGGGATGGAAAGAATACAAAATTGCTACCATCATCTTACATGGACCCTTTGGTGAGCAAATAATATACTGGAAGTCAATTTCATCTCAAATAAAAACTCTTGTCCTTTTGCCTTGAACGCAAGATTGTAATATAGAACTGACTGTCCCCAAACAAAAGCAAATTCAACAGTTGATACATTTTAAAAAGGTTCAGAATGATATATATGATAATATTGAAGCTTTATGGCTGGGATGGTATTTTAAAAAGGTGGTGAGACATATGTTACACTTGTTGCTCACCTGTTTCCATATATCTTACTTATCTGTATCATAACCATATGTCGCATGTATGAATCCCTGGATTGTTTGATCAAGACTCGATTACCGGTATTCACAGACCACAATCATGCAGCTGGAATATTGACAAGTGCGGTGTCAAACAAGATACAAATAATCTGCTTTGTTTAGTGACACATTACTTGGAACAGTATTTCAGGCATATCATGGCATGTCAGATTAATGGGAGATGAATGCCGAAGATGATGCAAGTCGAGTTAGTGAGTGAGTTGGGTTTAACGCCTCTTTTAACAGTATTCCAGTTATATCACGGCGTGTCAGCTTAATGTGGGAGGAAAGCCTGAAGTGATGCAGGTCTCAGACGTTTACCACTTCGGTGAAACCCACGAGCACGCGTATGGTGCTGAAAAACCTAGAAACATAATCGGGGCGAACCGGGATTCGAACCCACAATCATAGGTTTCTGGCGTGCTTGAGGGACGCAACTCTGCACAGCGAATTGCGGCGCCTTAGACGACTGGGCCACCCGTGCCCCCTGATGCAAGTCGAAGACGTTTACCACTTTGATGAAACTCAAGAAGACAGGTATTCTGCTGCTAAACCAAGAAACTTAACCTGGACAATTCTGTGACTTGAACCCACAATCATAGTATTCTGGCAAGTATAAGGGAAACGACTCTGCACAGCTAATTGCATGCCTTCGATTACAGACCCTGAAACAATTATATCCAAAAGAGTCTGTCCTTTTTATTATATTATTATAACTATAATATAACAACTGTTTTGATCTGTAAAATATGTTCATTCCAGTGACAAGGTGTTTGTCTAGACTGGGCTATATGTGCTTCTGGAACCCCTAAAAACTTTTGGGAATCTAGTAAAAGTATACCCTTACTTTAAAGAAGGTGTCCTGAGGTTATAATGTGTTGTTTTTTGGTAGGATCACATGTAACAGGTTTCCATATCTACAGCTTTCCATAAGCCTGTATCTGATGATCTGTTGTTGAAATTCTTTTCTTGACCAATGACCTTCGCATCATAATCATATCTATCAGCATAGAGGAAATGTAAATGGTTTGTTCATAAATGATGAAAGCATTACGGAATGGTTCTTTCGGATAATATTATTATTATTATTATTGTGTTGTCATTTAGTTCTGTCTGCACCAAGTAGTCATGACTGTATGGCAGCAATATGGTAAGCTGATCAACCTGAAAACGCTTCTTGTTATGTAATTTGAATCCTGCATATTGGCATATTGTCCAATAAAATGTGGGACAAAGAGAAAACATGCCTTTTTTTGAAAGGCAGTTATTCTCATTGTCGCTTAATATATGAGTCTTGAAGATGTCAGCTTAAAAACTGTATGCATGTAACTTCTTGAAGATAATGATATGAATATTCTTTTCACAGCCAGACTCTATACAGAATTTTGTGCAGTTGCTGTGATTGAGCACATAGTACAAAACAGTGTTGCTCGTTATAACAATTTGTAATTAGGGAATCCTCTGGTGACATGATTTTATGGCTAGGGTGTAGAGTCAGTGCTAGCAGTAGCTTGCCTGTATTCAGTTGTTTGAGCCCCCAACAGACCAATGAACCCCTCAGTATAAACAATCAGTTTCCACTACCCCAGTTTGGCTTAAGCAAGTCTAGAAATAGACAAATACACACTTCCATGGAAGGTGGTAATACATCAATCTATACAGACGTTCACAGGTCATAATCAACCTAGGACATTTTATACATAATATCAACATAAAATTTACACTTAATGGAATGTTAAGATTTCTTCTTGGCTGATCATAGTAAATCACATTTCAAACTTGTGAGCAGAATATCAGTGCTATGGGTCAATATTTCTAATTTTAAGAGATTATGTGACTATATTATTACTCAACTTGCCTTGGCCAGAAATGGGATAACAACTTTAAACTCTACAGTTAAGGTAATCTTAAGATTTTCTTTTGGCAACTGATGGTAAATCACATTTCTAACTTGTGAGCAGAATCTGAATGCTATTGGTCAATATTTTTAATTTTAAGAAATTTTTTACTATCTTATTACTCATATCCCCTCAACCAGAAATGGGATAACGGCTATAAAATCTACAGTTAACGGAATCTGAAGATTTTCTTTTGGCTGTGGATAGTAAATCACATTTCCAACTTGTGAGCAGAATGTGAATGCTATGGATTAATATTTCTAATTTTAAGAATTTTTTTGCTATTTTATTACTCATATCCCCTCGACCAGAAATGGGATAACAACTTTAAACTCTACAGTTAAGGTAATCTTAAGATTTTATTTCAGCTGATGATAGTAAATAACATTTGAAACTTGTGAGCAGAATCTGAATGCTATGGGTTAATATTTCTAATTTTAAGAGTTTTTTTACTTTATTATTACTCATCTTGCCTTGAACAGAAATGGGATAAAGTCTATAAACTCGACAAATAATGGAATCTTAAGATTTCTTCTTGGCTGATGATAGTAAATAACATTTCTAGCCTGTGAGCAAAGCCTGAACATTATGAGACAAGTTTTCTAATTATAAGAGATTTTCTATTATATCATTATTCATATCAACTCGACCAGAAATGGGATAACACCTATAAAATCGACAATTAATGAAATCTTAAGATTTCTTCTAGGT